GTATTCATCTTATTTTTATCGATGAGGAGACCTAAGCCCAGAGAGGTGAAGCCACTTGCCTAAGGTAAGAGATGGGATTCAGACTGAGGTTTTTCTAGTTCCAGAATCAGTGGCTCTTTGACCACCCTGTGCTCTCTCCTTTCCAAAAAGTCATTGATCTCCGAATTTCCTCCCCGGAACACTTTGATATTTGTGAACATGTGAGCAGTGGAGCTCTTTGACACCAGACAGGATATAGGCAGAGAAGGGCTGTCTTGGAGATGGGGACAAACCGTTACCGTTCTCAGGCAAGGAATGATCCCTTTCTGTCCCCTTGGAGCTTAATTGCAATGCTTTCCCACTTTATTAGTTTCCAGATTTCTGTGCCAAGTGCTTTAAAAGGCAGGTCAGGGAGAATTCTCCTCTGCTGCCTGGCAGCTTGCCATTTGCCCCAGAATCTGTTGCTCACTCGCTCGCTCGAAAGGGATCAACATTGAAGGCGTTCTTCTGGGTAGTGAAATTTACATATCACAACCTTGCTGACTGTAGCAGAAATGAGGGCTGGGGGGGGGGGGCAGGAGTCCCAGGTGGGGCCCGAGCCTTTGTAGGGGGAGGGAAGAGCTGATTTTATTACCCAGGAATAAAAACATTGTGAGTAATGAATAAGGTCCGAAAGCAGTAAATCTGGAACTCCGGCGTTAGGTGTGTAATGTGTCAGAGAACAATTTAAACCTTCGCCTCTTCCTCAGAGGTGAGGTATTCGGGCTGCCTCTCACAGCCCGAATCTCATTCAATGGTCTTTTAAGGGTTAGGATTACAAGAAGCCAAGTCCGGCTGGTTCATAATGATGATTTATGGCTGTGTTGCCGACTCCCCGACCCTTCTGTACAAGGGGATAGAGAAAATACATAATTTGTTGCTCATTAACTGCGAGATCTGTCAGGGCTGCCCCAGAAGCCATGTGGTCCTGGAGTCATGTGTCTGCTAAATGGCTTCAGCCTGGCCCTGTCCTTGAAACTATGCAATTGCTGTTCTGCAGTGGAAATCGTTTTTAATAACGATAGAAATACAGCTGATCCCCAATTTATGATGGTTTGAGTTACGATCTTTCAACTTTACGACGGTGTGCAAGCAATATGCATTCAGTAGAAGTCACACTTTGATTTTCAATTTTGATTTTTTTTTTTTCGTGGGCTAAGGATCCACGGTACGTGCTTTCTCGTGATGCTGGGCAGCAGCAGTGAGCCGCACCTCCCAGTCAAGCCGTGCGATCGCGAGGGTAAACAGCCTTTCTGTACCCACGCAACCATTCTCTTTTTCACCTTCAGTGCAGTATCCAGTAAATTACCTGCGCTATTGTACACTTAATTATAAAACGGGCTTTATGGTAGTTGATCGTGCCCAACTGTAAGCTAATGTCAGTGTTCTGAGCGTGTTTAAGGTAGGCTAGGTGAAGCTATGATATTCAGGAGGTTAGGCGTATTCAGTGCATCTTTGACTTAAGATATTTTCCACTTAGGATGCGTTTATCAGGACGTAACCCCACTGTAAGTCGAGGAAGATCTGTAACAAAAAATTCTGTCGATATAGTCTGTTGTGTGTCTTTGAACTATCTGGGCTCTACTTCAGCTCTGTCACTTAGAAGCCTCAATTCCTTCAGCTAAGTGCCTGTCCCTCAGTGCCTTACCATCCTCAGCTGTACAATGGGTATAAGTTCTTCACAGAGTCACAGATCAAATGAAACTGTAAATTACGTAAGAAATGTACAAGGTTACTGCTGTTAATAGCTTTGTTATTAGGAATTTGAGATGCCGTGATATTTTAGTCTCAAGGTTTTCGGGTTACTTGAATTTTTTTAAAAAGTTGAGCTTTATTTCTGCTATTTACTATTGGCCGTCTTTACCTTGTTCTCCTCCTGTGAGAGCAGGAAGCATTTTAACTGGCGGTTTGCCGGGTGCAGGCCTGTGACACTGAAACCAAAGTTTTAAGAATGAAGGGATGTTAGAGCTGAAAGGTGTCCTTGAGTTGTAATCCAAACCTTTCTCCCTGAAGTGGCCGAAGCAGAAAGGTGACTCGCCTGAGATTAATCAGTAAATTCATGTACGAGATGCTGGTTGGCAGTGAAATGCCACGTGTTCTTTTTCAGCATCGAATAGGAAGTCAGGCTCAAGCCAAGTCAGTTTAGAGTTTCTTAATTTGTGGCCGTGACACATCAAGGGACTCAGGAACCATCCAAGGGCAGGGACTGTGCATGGGGCCTTGGTTCTGTCCCGTAGCCGTGGCATTGTCTCTGAGGAAGTACTGTCCTCTGCTTTTGCTTAATACCTTTGCTTGGTGGGGAGGCCAGTGGTGGACGTAGCACAGGAGAGTTGAAAATGAATGTCATTGCAATTATGAAGTGATAAATTACAGGGTTGAGCGCCCTCATTTTGCAAATGGAGACACTGGCTTATCTCAGATTCACTCAGTGAGTAGGGACTTGAACCCTGGCCACTGCCTCCGAGTGGAGTGGCTGTGTCCCTGCCTCCAAAGTCATGTGAGCATGATTTATAAATAAAGAAGAAAGACCATGGTGGTGGTAGTGAACATCTGGAACTTGTTAGCCTGTAAGGTTACACAGGGTAAAAGTATAAACAGGTTCAAAGGGGAATTAGACCAGCAATGGTAGGAAAGAATGCTGGGTGGGGAGCTAGAACACCTGGGTCCAATCTTTCCTTGTGAGTTAATTTGGACCTCAGTTTCTTCTGTGTATAATGGACCCTTTCATTTCTGACGTGCTGTGCTTCTCAGGTTTTAATCTCTGCAACATGTTATCAAAGGACTTTTGGTAATATTTAGAGGATATTTCCAGTTTTGTAATAAAACAACTATGAAGACTACGGTCCTGCTTTCATTCATTCATTCATTCATTCATTCATTCAACCAGTAATGTCTGAGCACATCTGTGAGTTCAGGTGCTCTCCCAGAGAATGGCTAAGCCAGGACTGCGCTGGACTGGCCTTTGACCATCTCTCTGTAACGTAGAATCACACTCAGTGCAATCTGGGAACCAAAGCGTGGCTCTTAGAAATAATCAAGTATTTATAAACACAGAATCGCTGTACACACGTTAGCAGTGCTGGTGGCTGTTCTCACTCCCACACCTGCTGGTCCCTGGGCATCCCCCCGCTGCACTTGGGAGCCCTTGAGAACTTGGACCAGACCCCATGCCTTGACCCCTTCCCCAGCTATAAAACAATAACGGGAGACTTTGAAAAGGAGTGCCCGGATATGTCCGTCTATTACTTCCCTCGCGGTTGGGAACATGATCTGCGCTCCCTGAAAGAGCAAGTGTGGCTCATCACCCTGCCCTGTGAGAAACTGTAAAAGGAGCTCTGTGGTGCGTGATGAGTTGACTGTTGCTGTCCCTGGACTGTGGTTGCCATCAGGAAGTGGCCAGGGCTGTGTGATGGAGTTAAGACAAGGGCAGCAGGCTGTGTGGTTGCGTGTGACCAGAGCCCTCTGCCATGTAGGCATCACGGGCAGTGGCCTTATGGAGAACAAGCTGGACCCCCGGTCTTACTGTAAAACCGGGCAGTTTGGGTTTAGCTGCTTCCCCTGTCTGAGCTTCAGCCACACCTGTCTCATGGCTGTTGTCAGGATTTCATGAAATAAAGCCTATAGGAGCGATCCCCGATATGCAGTGGGTAAACAGTAACTGGTGGCTTTTCTTTTCCCAGACTTGAGAAGCCTCCCCTAAGTGTTAGGAGTAAACACAGTGGGATGGAGGAAGGGTATGAAAGCCGAGACTCACTGGCTATCCTCTAGGATTGAGGAGATGGGGACAATGGCTGCAGACTTGGAAATTTGCAAACACCGAAGGGCATGATGTTACAAGTTCCTTGGTTTGTAGGCCAGTGTTCTCATCACAGCATTCTTCTCAGAAGGAAAAACGAAAGAATCACTTTCTGTGACCCAGGTCATTTCTCATCCATGTTACCAGATTTAAACCAACGACTTGGCAAGGGCGTGTGCAGCCTCCTTTCATGGAGAAGGAAACCAGAGCTTGGAGAGGTTGTCATGGCTAAGCAACACCAGGCAGGTGGCAGAGCCGGGTCTCAAACCCAAGACATGGTCTTCGGCATTCACCTTCCTATAGAAACCCCTACCATGGCTCAGTGTTGACACAAGGCTGGTGATCCCTGACTCTGAAGCCCAGTATCCTGAGATTGGCTCAGATCCTCTGACGTTCTGGCCACCAAGCCTTAACCATGTCCTTGATTGTTCATCTAATCTTTTTTTCTATATCTGGGTCTTTATTTGTCTCTTTCTTTATTAAAAATAATACATTATATATATATATTTTTAAAGATTTTATTTATTAGAGAGAGACAGAGAGAGCACAAGCAGGGAGAGTGGGAGAGGGAGAAGCAGGCTCCCCGCCGAGCAGGGAGCCTGACACAGGACTCGATCCCAGGACCCTGAGATCATGACCCGAGCCGCAACCAACTGAGCCACCCAGGAGCCCCAACATATATATATATTTTCTTAATATTATATGTTTATGTATAAATATTTTTGATTGTATATTTTTGTTGTTACAAAGTTACCATATGACCGTGTGGGACTTTTTCAAAAAGGGAAAAATGACCATGTTAGCAGTCCTCTATTTCCTCCCATGCATATTTCTGTCCATATATTTCTCAAATAGAAAATTGAGATTTTCTTTTTTTTTTTTAAGATTTTATTTATTTGAGAGACAGAGTGAGCGTGTACGTGAGGAGGGGGAGGGGCAGAGGGAGAGGGAGAAGCAGGCCCCCCGCTGAGCAGGGAGCCAATTTGGGGCTCAATCCCAGGACTCCGGAATCATGACCTGAGCCAAAGGCAGATGCTTAACCAACTGAGCCACCCAGGCATGCCGCAAATTGAGATTTTCTATATTATAGCCTGCCATTATATAGTGAACACTAAATATCCTTTACCACCTCCGCTTGGATGACAGGCCTCGATACTGCCTAATTCCCCTGTTGGTTTCCTTTCAGATCATCACTGGGGAGTTCTACCGCATCTATTACCTGAAGGAGAAGTCCCGGTCAACGATTCAAAACCCCTATGTGGCGGCCCTCTATAAGCAGGTGGGCTGCTTCCTCTTCGGCTGTGCCATCAGCCAGTCCTTCACAGACATTGCCAAAGTCTCCATAGGGCGCCTGCGTCCTCACTTCCTGAGTGTCTGCAACGCCGATTTCAGCCAGATCAACTGCTCCGAGGGCTACATCGAAAACTACAAATGCAGAGGTGACGACAGCAAAGTCCAGGAGGCCAGGTGAGTCACTGCCTACCATGGCCACAGTGTGCATGCTCCGGATACAGGCAGTTCAGGGAACACTACATGAGGTGCCAAGCTCAGTGCTGGGCTTTGGTTTCAAGGGGTGAATAAGGCATAGTCCCCATTCTTAAGGAACTCAGGGTCAAATGATTTAGATACATAGATAAATAAGCAGTTACGGTAGAACACTGGTGAGTCCATCCATCTATCCATCCATCCATCCATCCATCCATTCTTCTGCTTACTCACGCATCCACGGGTGCCTGCTAGGTTCTAGACGGTGTGTCCAAAGCACGACAAATGATGCAAAACCACACAAGATAGTGCTGCTGTCAAGGTCACAGTCTAGGGAGGGAAGACAGACAGGCAGACATGTGTCAGGGGTGTGAATATGGCCCTTACATGGCCCTCTCTTGCTCTTGCAGGAAGTCCTTCTTCTCTGGCCACGCCTCCTTCTCCATGTACACTATGCTGTATTTGGTGGTAAGTACCTTCCTTCTGATTCCAAGCCCCAGCTTAAATCTCTTCTGTGCAGAGAGCCCTTGGGATGGTTAGCGATAGACTTCATTGTGAAATCCTTGAAAGAGAAGTTAGCTAGAAAAATGAGGTTCTGTTTTGAGCTCTGCCATAGCATCAGTGAGAAGTTGTTTTATTTTCTAGGTGTTTCCCATCTTTCAAATAAAATTAATATTTATCGTGGCTGTTTGATAAGGATTGTGCACCCATTTTGAAGTTAAAAAGTGACGAAGACACTCATATCACGCTTTATGGTAACAAGCCCTGTTTTCTGAACATCCATTTAACTCAGTTGACCCTTCCAGGCACCCTAGGTTATAAGTAATATTATCTCTTTTGTGGGAAAGGATTACTAAGTAAGGCTCGGAGAGTTCAAGTGAACTGTCAGAATTTACACGGACACTAGCACTATTGCTCACATCCAAGCCCTGTCATCAAATTCCTTGTGGTGTTCGCCACGCCAGCCCTCCTCCATTCCCTACTGAGGGAAAGGCTTTAAAAATTATCATTATCTGATAACTTAGAGTGATTTCAAGTGTGACAGAGAAATTCTGCCTCCGTGAGCACACGTGATCCCATAATAACATGGTGAGGCACGACACGTGTATCCCTGCTGCTGGGATCCAGAGACCAAGGCCCCGGGAGGCTAAGCAGTGTGATGGGGGTGGGGGGGGGAGGTCCCTCAGCTAGTGGTGGGGCCATGATCTGAACCCCTGTGTCACCCCTCCCATGGCCATGTCTGCTCTGACTTCCTAAAGGCGCTGGGACAGTGCAGATCCATCCACCTCTCCAGCTGCAGCACAGAGGGCGGCTGGTCTGTTTCTCTTTGTGAGTTACATATGGTCCACTGCCTTTCCTCTCCCCTTGAGTGAGGTCCCTGTGCCAAGGCACTTCCTGCTTTCGGCCCCTTTGATGAAGAGCAAGAAGGCGCTGAGAGGTCAGACGTAGCTCAGGGGATTGTAAGCTGTTTGCAGAGAGAACGTTTTGATTTTGACTTACTTAAAAAACATAATTAGGATTTGGAAAAACTAGCAGAAGGGTTTTGTTTTGTTTTGTTTTCCCTTGCAATCCTTTCCAAGCCCGGAGGCCTCCGGGCTTCCCATTACCTGGGATCCAGAGCTGAAAGGTGGGCCCCGAAAAGCCTCAAGTGGGGATTTTATTTATTCACGAGTCGCGTGCCCCTCCCTTCTTCATTTGTTGTTACTGTTTTGCTTTTGCTTTGCTTTTAGAAAGCTAATTTAACGAAGATACTTCGTTTCCTATTTCATTTTTTTATAGTTTATCCGGGTCTGGAAGCAATTTTACAAATGTAATTTCGGTGTTTTGCAAAGGTGCTTGGAGGAGTGGGTCTGTGTTCATTTTTCTCCCATTCCTTCATTTTCCAAGAGAAGAATACTGGGTAATTTTGAAACCCACTCTGTGCACTGTATGCTCTACAGCCGCCAAAAAGATAAAGGTGCTGACCTGTTTCTGGTGCCTTCTGTGTACCAGGCACTGGGGCAAGTTCACACCACAGCATTTGGTTCTCTCAGTAACTCGATGAGATGCATTTTGATTACCTCGTTTTCAGCTGGAAACCAACCAACCAACCCGAATCTTAAGAATTTTAGTAATGAAAGTTCCATCTCCTGTAAAAGGGAGAAAATGGATTTGAAGGCTCGTCTTGATGACACCAGGATCACTGTCTGTTCTTTTCGTGGTACTGCTCTTCAAAACACAAAAACAACCCCACCAGGATAAACTTAAAGAATATAAGTTCCCAGGGTGCCTGGGTGGCTCAGTTGGTCAAGCCGGGGTCCTGGGATCGAGCCCCTGCATCGGGCTCCCTGCTCAGTGGGGAGCCTGCTTCTCCCTCTGCTTGCTGCTCCCCTGCTCATGCTCGCTCTCCCTCTCTCTCTCTGTGTCAAAATAAATAAAATCTTAGAAAAAACAAAACAAAACAGAATATAAGTTCCCAACTCTAATTTCCATTTCCCCTAACGGCAACCTGCCTTTCTTCAGATCTGCTTTAATGGAGGACCTGCCCGCTCGCCCCCACCCCCACGACCACCTCCTACCAGCGGTGATTACAGCCAGAGACTTCCTCTGCAGGGGTGAGGAGTGAGGGGTAGATTCGGACCGAATGTCTGTTCGCGTCTTTGAGGGAGGAAAAAATTATAGTGCCTATATGTTTCTGGAAAGAAGGAAGGGAAGGAGGCAGGGGAAGAGGGTGGGAGGAAGAGAAGAGCCTCCTTAGTCCTCCATCGCCCTAGCGTCTTACTGCACACGCACACACAGCTGTGCACACACCATACACTGGAGAAGCCTTGCAAATGCACACATTTTAACATGCACAACTCACGGATACCCATATGTACAACATATAAACATAGGGCTCTATTTTTAGCTCTCAGGTTATCTTGCCCTGAAACAACCCCTGAGGCTAGATTCCAGGGAGGATGGTGCTCTTCGGCAGGCTTGCTTCTACGTGATGCTACGCAGAGATCTCACCCTTCTGAATGTCCAATGTGCAAAGCTTCTTTAGAGCACCATTGCTGCCTGTCAGGGTCCGTGGGAAATGCTGCACTCAGAGCAGCCCCCGGCCCATTCCCCAGTGCTTCTCTGTGGAGCTTCAGGAAGTAGAGGTGGGCAGAGGAGACCCTGGCCTCCCCCAGTGCAGCTTCCCTGGGGGCCTTGAGGAAAATCACCTTTGAACCAGTTGGGTGTAGCATTGATGGCATTTGCCATTTGCCCTCAGGGTCTGGCAGACCTGGATGATTCCGCCACCTCATGACTAGCTCTGGAACCTGGGGTTGCTTACTTAGCTTTCCCGCCTCAGTGTACTCCTCTGTAAAGTGGAGACAGTCATGTCTCTTTTGCAGGATTGTTGCTACTTTTCATCTCTCGACCCCACTTTCTTCATCTGTCAGATGAAAGAGTGGAGTTAGATGGTATCTACTTATTTCTCAATCTCTGCGGTTCTATTTGAAGGAAGTTTGAACTACCCCAAGCAGTACAAGAAAAGATGGGAAGCCGTCAGAGACAAACTTATGCCCTCATTATCTTGGCGTTCAAAGGGGGGCGGGCGGGAAGCACCAGCCCCCTCTACTCTAGGCCTGTCGGCAACATCTGCATCTGAAGCCTCCCGTGGCTCTGAAGGACACTCCGCGTTAGGTTTTCATTTGTAAAATGGTTAGCTTGGAAAAACCATGCCCCAAACACCAAATTATCTCCGGGCATAGAAGCTTACAGATGAGGTTAAGGCATGTTAGCGATTAATGCAGATTCTAATAAGAAAAACCCACAGCAGATAAAAGCGTGCGTGCTGCTTTTCTAGCCCTGAGTCCTGGCCTAAGCCCCAGAGAACCACATCTGGACCAGCCTTGTACCTCCACGGTCAGGGATCGAGGATGACTTGGCTTTCTGGGTAAAATGCCAACACCCGCACAGGCCCCAGTCTGTGGGGCCTACCTGGTGTTGTCTGTTGTGCCAGGCACTCTGCCACCTCCCAGGGCTACTAACGTGAATCAGACCTGGGCCCGGCCCTCAAGGAGCTCAACGTGGGTTCAAAACTCGGAATATCAGCACATATTTAATGGGTGACTGTGATAGACCAAGCAGCACTCTAGGGGTGGGGATGTAGACATTGGGAAGTCATGGGCGCAGGCCTTGGGGTGCTCAGTCTAGGGGAGCAAGGAGACGATGACAGCAGTTTGGTACACTGTGCAGGGGGTGGGGGGGGGCAGGTGTAGGTCCTTATGGAAACTTAGAGTCGTGGCACCTAAGCCAGCCTGGGGTGGAGGGTGGCGGAAGCTGGGGAAGGCTGCCAGTAGGGTGACGATGGGCAGATGGGACGAACCGCCTGTGTGCAGGTGAAAAGGAGGGCGGGGATTTGCAAGCTGCAGGTTTTCAGTTTAGTCCAGCTGTGGTGGCCGGTAGGAAGCAAGGAGTGGAGGGTGCAGCGAGAGCTGAGAGGACTTTCAGGACCAGCCGCCCCAGCCCCTCCTCCTGCAGCTCAGAGCAGGCAGTGGCTGGTTGGTGGCCAGGCCTCTCTTTTGCCACCACGCCTCCCTCCCCAGACGAGCGCCTTGCCCCCTTGCCTTCTTCAGGCTGCTTTGTCAGAGGAGCCTTCCCTGGCCCCTCCTGTGATACTCCCTCACTCCCTTTGCAGCCTTATTCCTGCCCCCGACCCAATTTCTCACTGTCTGATGTCTGTATTCATTTCTCTACCAGATAAATCGTAAGCTTCATGAGGGAGGGATGCTTTTGTCTCTTGATTCACCACTGTACCCCACCGTCCTACACAGGGTCTGACACTTAGTTAAGTATGCAGTGAATATTTGATGAGTGAGTGAGTGAATGAATGAATGAATGACTCGATCGCAGGCCTTCTACATCCCCAAGCCATGCTGCTTCCCATTCCGGTCAGAATTGTGTTCATCCCTCATCCCTGAACTGATCGATGGAAAAGGACCTGGGTGGTGTAGGGAAGGCCTTTGCCGCCTCTTTGCCGAACTGTTGATGTATTGACTCTTTACTGGGGTGCCCGTCGGGACTGTTTATGTGTCAAAGGGTTTGTCGGATACCAAGGAAACAGGGAAGTGGCTGTCCTCTGACAGCCATGTTCCCTGGCCTGTGGTTGTTAGTCATTGAGGTTTTGTTCAGCATGTTTAGAATCCTGGAGCGGTGGGGTTGGTATGCCCGCGAGACATGCCCACAGATCCTGGGAGTGTCTGGTGAAACCCCCTGCGGGGACAAGATTGTGGTTTCTATGGGGAATAAACCACCCTATCAGATGTAGATGTTTTCCCTTGTCTTTCCCCTCGCCTGTATTGATCCATCATCCATCCACCCATCTGTCTGTCCATCCGTCCATCTGGCAGTTTCTGAGCCAGCCCTTGTGTGAGCACCCGGGGACACCAAACAACTTCCTATTTGTCATGGAAAGCCTGAAAAGTAAATAGTCTCGGAACAGGTGGATGAGGTCT